CCCCCCTCCCCCCCCCCCCCCCGCCCCAAGCTGTGGCCAGACTTGGCAGGCTGCGCTGCCACAAGGGGGCGCCCCAGCCCGCGTGGGAGGCTGGCAGCTCTGGGGCTCTCTGGTCGCGCGCTGAGTCTGCTCTGCCCTGCAGGGGACACGGCCTCTAACCTGGGCAGCGCCGTGGACGAGCTCATGAGGCACCAGCCCACGCTCAAGACGGACGCCACCACCGCCATCATCAAGGTATGGGGGGGGCCGGGCCTGGGCCTGGGCCGCGTCTCATGGGCCCTGGACTCGACCGGCCTGCGGCATCGGAGGGGTCGGGGGGGGAGGAGTGCGGTGTGGCACTGCCATCCTGCAGTGCTGGCTTACCACGTGGCTCTGACCCCACCGGCCCCGCCCCGGCTCTGGCCACCGTGAGGAGCCATTTGGCTAGTGTCACCTGGTTTGAAATCATCATTGTAAGCCCCCTCCTGGCCTTTCTCCCCCCTCCCCTGCTGCCACCCCCCCTCCCCACCTGGCAATAGTCTGGAGACCCGATCAGTCTCTGGGTCTCCTCCCCCTCCCTGTCTGTCCGTCCCATCATGGGGACAGGGGCTCTCATGGCATCTGTCCCCCCGTCCCTCCCCGCTGCCCTAACCCCCCCCCAGCGTCGGGCACTGAGCGGCTGGGCGGCCCCCCGGCGGCCCCGGGACTTAGCCTGGCGGCCCCGGCTCACTGCGCTGTCGTCTCCCCGCCGGCGCAGCTGCTGGAGGAGATCTGCAACCTGGGCCGGGACCCCAAGTACATCTGCCAGAAGCCATCCATCCAGAAGGCCGACGGCACGGCCACGGCCCCGCCGCCCCGCTCCACCCACGCGGCCGAGGAGGCCTCCAGCGAAGACGAGGAGGAGGAGGAGGTGCAGGCCATGCAGAGTTTCAATGCCACTCAGCAGAGCGAGGCAGAGCCCAGCCAGCAGTGAGTGCCTCCCCCCCCCCCCGCAGCTAGGGGGCGCCAGGCTTCACCCTCATCCCCTTAGACACAGGGGAGCCCTTCCGCCCCTGGGCCCGCCCCGTGTCTTTCCCGAGCTCGTGCTGGGAAAGAGTTAACCGGTCGTCGCAGCTCGACTGGCAGCGAACCCAGGAGTCCTGGCTCCTAGCCCCACCCATGGCCTAATCCCCTAGACCCGACTCCCCTCCCAGAGCCGGGGAGAGAACCCAGGAGTCCTGGCTCCCAGCCCCTCTCCCCCCCCAACCCTCATGTGGTGAATTAGTCCTCAATGGCTCTGCAATCAGAGCACAGCCAAGCTATCCCCACCTTGAGGATGATGGGGTGGGGGAGGACACGGGAGGAGGGGGAAA